ACCAATTCTACGTAGTTGACTGTAGAGTATACTACGTCGTCTTTAATCCTTTGAATTAAAATCTATCCAATCTTTTGAATTAAAATCTATCCACTGATCTATTGCTCTATCCAAGCAAGAGATAAAAAAATATCTTTAATACGAGATTCTTTTTATTGTTCTTGTTCTTTTAAAATATTGTAAGTCTTGATCCTAAATTACACTATATTTAGATTCTAATTATACTATGTGTACATTCAACAAACATGCCTGGCGGCCACAAAATTATCAAAACTTTTTCCTTCACAGTGAGCACTGTAAATTGCCCATTAATTGCCCATTCTGAAACATAAATCCACTCTTATTTTCTCTAGAGACATGTTAATATTCTCAAAATACTTTCGAAAATCGCTGATATATACTAAAACGCTCGCTTGAACAAATTATGCTCAGAAAATGCGAAAATTAGCCTCAACTTCGCGATTGCGTAATCGCAGAGCGATAAAACGAGAGCGCAGGCCGATCGAAAATAAGCGATTAATCGGGGAAAGCACAGATGTCGAGCGTACTCGTGGAGATCATGGCTTTGTACGAGATCTGGGTTCGTCTTGGCCGTCCCCAGCCCTGACTACCAATTCGAGGAAATGCATGTCAAGGCGGTAAAAGAGACCACACCGGCGTACCATGGCGATTATCACGAACTCGCGGGCGTTGTGCACACGCAATTCGCAACGCACACACTCCGCGCCCTCCCCGTACACCCACCCCACTCGATTGTGACCCACTTGCCGGATCGCGTATTCGCAAATTTCGACGCGAATTTCGTTAGGCGTCTGCGACAGCGATTCTTCGATCGAGCCGATGAATTCGATTCGGCCGCCTTCGCCGCCTCGAAGCGCAAGCTTGCCCGCTTCTCCGTTACTTCGGAACGGCATTCCGGCCCCTCTCGCTCGTGAATAATGAGTTCCCTTTTTTCGACGCTCAATTGCGCCGAGGGAAAAACAATCGGGAAAGATGTACCGTAATATCGCAAGAGCGGGACGCCAGTTTCGCGGGATCACCTTTGCGCGCGTAGCGACACTGTGGCAGAACTTTATACGCATTCTTTTTCTAAAATATATCTCTTTCTTTTGCTCTTGCGCTAAAAAGAAGTCAATTCCGGGAATTATAACGGGAACCAGCGTCGATTCCGATAATCTTATGATCGAGAGCATTGATTAAAGTTTCAGTACCTATCTAAATTCCAAGATCGTTCTCAACGCCCCTCGATATCTCTCTCCTGTCATTCCGGATTATTATATAATAAATTCCGGATTGAGATTCCGTTAGCTGAAGTTTCGCCGTGCAACCGAGACCGCCGGATATTTTTCCGCATCGCAGCGGCGGCAAATTAAATGTGGAAAAAACGGCTGCGTCGACGCACGCGTTTCGTTATCACTTTTAATTCGCAACGAGCGCGTGCCGCTCGAAGTAGCGGTAACGACGGTGCAATCGCGAGTTGCGGAAGTTCCGCTTTTGTCTGACCCAGATAGTCGGCATTCACTCGCTATTTCGTAACGGGACTAACTACTTTCTTTCGTCGGTCCGCGACTATGCACACGTATGCACAATGCGTGTGTGCGCAATCGCGATGCACCTTCTGCGATATCACGTCTGCGCGCATTTACAAAAAAATTACACAATTATTACAACGTAAATTAATAAGACACGGCGCCAGCTATTATTATTTATAAAAAGTTAAGCTGCGAAAAAATATCCGAGATGAAATTATAAAAATGCGGAAGGCGTGCAAAAGTAATTTAGACGTGGCATAGCGGCGGCGCGCAAAATTGGCCGCATCAATTTCGATCTCGTCTCTGCCGTTGCGTATCCCGCACCACAGTTATATCTCGAAATAAATTAGCGAGTTCTTATATAAAACAAGAATCTAAGCAATGGAGGAACAAGAATCATATTGTTCCATTATATTTTTCACGGTGATAATTCTTCCGCGGCGTGAAGTGTGTTATTATATAAAAGTCTCCACACACAGAAAAATACATACTGTATTCAAGTAAATATTACTTGTTTTAAGTATTTTATAAGTTCATATATCCGCAAATCTATCGTAAGTTCATCATAAGCATCAAATTTATTCAAAATATATTTTGATCCCAGTAAGTTCAATACTTCAATCAAGAATATTAAATTTAAAAAAGAATTCTATTTGCTTATTAAATTAACCAAATCTGACTTTTCTTCGATACAATTTTATAATATTCTTCATCAAAAAATAATTACCTCTTTTGAGTATATGATAATGAGTTTATCAAAAATTTGTGATGAGTATATTTTAAGACCATTATCAAGAAAATATTCTTTATCAAAGATAATTGTTAAACTTAAAAAAAGAAGAGTAAGCCGAGTAATTACTTTTCTTAGCAATAGAATGATATTTTTCTGTGTGCATTAGAGTCATTTTGCCGGCCCTCGCCCCTTATGTTTTTTCTCGCAATACAGTAAAGTGGATTCACTCCCACGGGCGCGACTTGAGTATAGTGAACGGGCTCGGTATCTGAAAGATTTAGCTCGAAGGGAAAGACCGACGTGTCCAACGCTCTTCCGGCAGAAGAAAAAAAATTCACTCAGGACCACGAGCATATCTCATCGACGCGTGGCGCGACCGTTACTTGATACCATACTGCTTCGTCATATACATTCCAGTCGCGGTGGCCGTGGGCTCTGCCTCCCGCAGCACGTGTGGGGCCGGTACACGTGCGGCGAGAGAGGTTGCGACGAGCCTAGCGGTTACCATCTCAATTAATTGA